CCATCCATCCATCCATCCATCCATCCATCCATCCATCCATCCATCCATCCATCCATCCATCCATCCATCCATCCATCCATTCATTCATCCAACCATCCATCCATCGCAGCTGGAGCCACTAGATCTCCAGCGTGAAGTGAGCGCACACGGGAGGGCTTGCTGTTGCAGTTCTTAGACATTTAAAGCGTCAGTCAAACATTGTTATGAATATGGGAAAAAAAACCCCGCATATAAGTCACTTTGGCGTATAAGTCGCAGGACTGACAATTTTATGCAAAACCTTTGACTTATATGCCGGAAAATACGGTAAATGACATTTATTAGCAGAAATGTGAATTTTAGCCCATTAGTTTATAAGTGGGTTGTATAGTTTTGGTTCACATTCTCCTTGGGGAACTTAAAACCTAATCTAATGACAAACTGCTCAAAACTGTCTTGACATCTGGTGGGTTTGACATGTTTGTTTCTGTCACTGGTTGGCCTCTGCTGACGAAGCAGTGAAGACTGGGAAGAGAAGGGGTGGGTTTCTCACCACAGTGAGACCAGGCTTGGAAAAACATGCTTGACGGGTGCATACGAGGTATTTTTGGGCCTTTCAGGCGAGACTCCAGAGTAGGCAAGATCTGTGAAGCATATAGGTAGCCTGTCCAGCAGAGCGGTCAGGAAGTGAAGGAAGGTCAAGGAGCTGCTGGCTCAACGCGTGGGACCCTGCTTCACACTCTACGGTCACACCGCAGCAAGTTTGACACAAACAATTGGATGTTTGTTCAAGGTCTGAGACGGTGCATTTGCTACAAGACAACCAGCACAGAGCTCTGTGGATTTAAGCAGTTTCAGCACATATGTTCGACAGTAACCTGTAACCAAATGTGTGGAATATATTATCCTGACAACAAAAACCTGCTTTTTATTAAAAAGATTTATTTTTGGGGTGGTGGTGTACCACAATATACGGTACAATAAACCCCAAACCACTCGCTGTGGCTATTAGAAGGATGCTAAAAGCAGTGAAGGGGGTGGTGTTGGGTTTTTCACATATAGCCACACTGGGTTCAGCTTGTGTATAATCTTTGCTTCCCCTGGAGCTCCTCCACTTCCTTTGCAAATGTCCAAATCAGCACTCAGTCACCGAGAGGTCCTGCACTACGCCTCACAATGGCAAATTCTTACGCATAAATGGCCTCATTCAGAAAAGCTTGCAAGCAGCTGGTGCGATTCGCTCAAGAAAATAAACATTTCCTTCAAATATTTTGATTGGCAAGCGCACAGCATCAATACCAGAGGCACAGATTACCCCTGTTAATAAGAGGACCAGCCTCCTGGGCGGAGCTGAGGAGCGTGGAAGGCATGGACTGGAAATGGGAAGAAGTGGCGACTGCGTCATCAAGTTGGTTCCAGCATAGTTTTTTTGGGGGTGGAGGGAGGAGAAGACACAAACAAAACACATGCTCTGCTTTTGAAGTGCACGTGCAGATGAAAGGGAAGGATGAGATGATGTCGGAGCCAAAATGGCATCCATCCTTGTGGCTCCAGATCTAGCGACGCCTGTGAGACATGTAATGCGCCTGTCGTAATGAAGCGTGTCATTGAGACACAGTGAATGCCGGCCCTTATGCTGGCTTCCTGTTTCGCTCAGGCCTTAGGCGTCGCAAAGGGGACAGAATGAGAGAGAAGGCGAGGAAGACAAGAAAGAAAGACGCCAGCGAGGAAAGCAAAGAGAAGAGGGAGCGTGTTAGAGAGGGGAGGAACACGGCCTTGGCTCAGCTATGTGGGACATTTGATATGTCTTTTGAGCCCTCACTTATAACGTGAGCAAAAACAAACACGTGGGCTGAAAAATCCTATGTTCTCTTTGAGAGCTCGCCGTCCGTCCGCCCGCCCGCCCTTCCCCTCTCCCCAGACTCAATAGAGACTGTTCATGGCACACATGTAGTTTCTATAATTGCTGAAATGTAAAACTCAGCCTTTCTCTGATGTGAAATTATAACTTACACAAACAGTTGAGTTTGTTTAAAAAAAAAAAAGTCTTGCTCTCACTTCTCATTTTCTTTGTTTTTCACCAAGGAGGGGGCTTCAAAAGATTTTTTTTCGTTAAAGATCAGAAACATGTTCAGATTTAATGATTCATCCCGGCACCACAAACAGACTAACCACATGAAGCTTTCAGGCACTATGACAAATAAAGTCTGTGGTAGCCACTGGCACATTATGTAAATTGTACAGTGCAGAAGTAAAACAGAATGTCTTAAAGATGGCTCTAAATTCCCTTTTTTATATATAAAACATCAGTTTCTTGCTTGGGTTTGGCAAAAATCAGTATAATAATGGCCCTCCCATGACAGCCACAGTCAAATGACTACCGCTGCTACCTAACGGCACTAATTTCCTGTCCCACTCCTGCTTTTAATTGGCTGATCGTGTCACTAGATGTGTGTATTAGTGCGCTCCTCTCAGCCAAGGCAGCAGCGGAGTGCCGTCTTGAACCTGGGGGTCCGACCAGCTTGTTTATGCGGAGTAAACAGTGTGGTCACTGTGGACGAGGCGGGCTGCGTTAAGACCTTCTCAAGTCAAGTCCAGGCCAAGAAGCCATGACGTGAAGAGATACTGAACAAGTCTGCAAAGGCACAGCTGCAGCAGCTGTGTGCCAGCCGAGTAAGATGAAGCCAAAGGTAGCAACATTCGTATTAAGTGTCATACATCAAAATGTGGAATTTACAGGATAAACAACGAGTTAAATTTGACAAATGAAAAGCAGAATATTTCATTTCTGCAAGATTTTCCAATCACCGCATTTGTCAAATAATCAGAGGAATACACTCTTTTAAGCCCTCATCAAAGCACCGATGGTGAAACATTATGCTATAATGTCTGATATTCATCTTCAGAAGTTAGGGGGGTGGGGGGCACACAGGTGTTGGAACAAATAACATGTTAAATGACACCACCTCAAAAGTGCCAGAACTCTCTATTCAGACGATTAAATTGGCGCTGCATTTCCTTTTTTTTCCCCCCCCCCCCCCCCCCCCCCCTAACAGTTAAAACACATTGAAGTTGAAAGAGCGTCTTTCTTCTCGGCTGTCTGTTAGAGGCTCTGCCAGGAGCTTGTTGGGTTTTGTTTGCGTTCAGATGGATTAAGGCAAAACTGAAACCTGTTTTCCACTTTTCCCCTTTCAGGCAAATCAAGCCTTGAGTCGCGCTTTTGCTCGCCTTTCGACTGAAAAACCTGTGCATACACACGAAAAACATTGTCCCAGTCGGATGTTCAAGGATGAACTAACACTGTATCAGAGAAGCAAACAACAAAAAAAAGATGCCACCCACAGCCACATGCAGTATACACATGTATCTCGCTCGAGGTTTTGAAAACCAGAATAACAATTTAGCGTTTGATTGTCTGAGTGTCAGATTTGCTTGACTGAACTAGGTGAACCACACGTTTTTGAGCACCTACACACACACACACACACACTCCACCCTGGCTGAGAATCATTCCACATGTCTAGCAGGCTTACCTGTGGCCACCGACGAACAAAAACAAGCAGCGAATGTAGCGTCTGCCAGCGTGCAGGAATCCTGTCACTGCATGCACGGTAATGAGCTCTTAATTACCCCGTCTGTCTCGCAGAAAACTTGCAACACTAAAGTGTGTCTGTGTGTGAAAGAGTGTGTGTTTGTGTGTCTGTGCTGCAATTCCCGTGTTAGGATTTCGATGTTGTTGAGCAGATGTCTGCAGACGTGTTCTGTTGACAACAAAACAGACACTTATTTCATGGCTCAGACAACAAAATTAAGCAAGAAGGCTTAAGGGAGAGGTAACTTTTTTCCCCCGCTCGATCTCGAGGGGGGAAATGGTGGTTAATGGAAAACATCTTTTGTAAGAGCGAGATCCATTTAATTATAACGTGTTGATGGGGTGATCCATCGCCAAGCAAAGCTCAAACAAACAGGCCTGGCGATTTTAAAGTATCTGCAAAAGTACAACGGTCCCTGGCGAGGCTTTAAAAAGCAGAGACGTGTGTGCTGTTGATATGTAAACACCTCCCTGTGTCTCTGAACGGGATTTATTGCAACAAGTCTATTTTTGTTGCAGCTTTGCTTCTAATTCTGCTGGATGTTGCGCACAGACAAACTGCTCGGTTATTTAATTATTTTACCACTCCTGCCCTGCGGTATGTCGTCACGACGCTAATACCACAGATTAAGGTGTGTGGTTTTTATGGTCCGTCCCCTCCTCTGCCTCAACACACACACATTTTAAAGACAGCCCGCAGTCACCAGCAGCTGTAACGTGAATCTCAAGGCCCCTAACGTCTCTGACACTTCCAGCTGATGTTAACATGTTATGTCGGCTCTCCTTTGTGCACCGTGCATGTGTGTGTTGCAACACCGCTGTCCTTTGAAGCCTTGAAAGCCTATGATGCTCTAATTCCTGCTTTAATCCTGTGCAAGGCAGACAAGAGCAGAACTCCTCGTCTGCTGTCTGGGCCGTGTCTGTACGCCTCTCTCCCTGACGATCGGAGCGCAACCCACACGTTCAAGGCCGGCCTCAGAATCTCAAAGCTTCCAGTTAAAGCTTAGCTGCAGGGGGCTTTTATTTTTTTTTTTTTACTAGCAGACAAGCAGGGCCGATGCCAAACTCTGAGCCGTCAGAAAATTATCGTCATAGCGGCAGCGTTGTGTTGAATGTCGGCACTGTTTGTTTTCAGTTTATGGGTCGTTGATGTTCCTGAAATGGCTGGAGTGGTTTTAATGTGGTACGAGCTGTGCAAAGGGACAAAATGGGTATCAACAGAATGTAAGGACATGAGGGAGCTGAGTAAAAGACCCAGTGTTCCCAGCAGTCAGCTGTTAGATAGGTCCATAGTGGTGACTCAGCGCTGGCTAAGCTAAGAACATGGCCAAACAGTGTACGGCTGTGATAGAGCTGCACCCACGCATGGCTCAACGCTCCCAAACAAGCCTTCCTATAAGCAGCAACACACTCTTACAAAGGTAATGAGAATCATTAGAGTGGGCGGGTGGGGTGTACGGTAGATGTGTGGATGTTTCCAGATATTCCGTTAAATCTCTTCTGACACACGATGATGTGGAGTGAAGACTCATTCTCGCCCACGCAGCTGTTCGCAGCATGCACACATGCGTAAAAACAAGGCCTTCGCCTTCCATCACACCACTTCTGTGTAAGTCACAGCCTTCCTACCTCTCTCCACCCGCCCACCCCCGCACATTCGACCAGCGAGAGTGACGTGACTGCCAAGGTAGCAGGCGGCTGTTACATTCCCGAGGCTGTAATGTGAGGTGCGCAGTTGCCAAACTCAGCTGGCAGTGCTCGGCGTGCCACCTGGCAGGGGATTCTGCCCCTCGCTCTGTGGGGCTCGGACCCGTCAGCACAAGGTGTGGAGGGACAAAGCTGACATGAGCTTCCCCTCGTACAGCTAAGAACTCAGATTAATGGAGCAGCATGCATCATAAAGTAAACATACACGAGACATTTGGTTTGACTCAAACTGAAATTTGTCTTACAGGTTCCTTCTGGCCAAATAAAACCACATGTGCTCATTTTAATCAAAGCCCGTCAAAGTAAGGCCAACGCGAGCGCTGCTGCGGTTTGATTTCAAAGAGGTTGTCTGTGATCCTCACCTTGTGTGGTGCCGAGGTGTGTTTGGTGAAGCGGGCGAGGATTGTTGTTCACTGGGCCTATCCGCATCGTTCGCTGGTGGTAGCGTTCGATCTCCGACAGCCTGTCAGAAAACTGCATCTTCTGGGGGTCTTCTAGCTTCACTCTGTGCCCTGAAAGATCAAAACAGGAAGTTGAGAAGTAAAGGAAATGCTATTAGCACAATAAACCTCAGCATTAGTTTAAATCTGTTACCGTATTTTCCGTTGTAAGTCGCAGTTTTTTTCCATATACTTGCCAATCCTTTGACTTATATGTTTAACGCAACACTTTAAATGTTCATTCACACTGACATGAACCAGAGTAAACATTAACATTTGCAGCAGCTAGAGGCGCGAGAGGGCCGTCTAGGCTTTTGACAACTACCAGTAGGCGTATGTTGTTCCTGTACCGCCTCCCCCTCGCCAAACATTCACCATTAAAGTGCATTTATTAAGGAAAAAGTTAAAATGAGGCACATCTTTGCCATAATGTCAAGCAAACAAATAATTGTTTTTAAGTGTTAATCTTGTTAAATTTCGAAGAACTGCAACAGCGAGTCCTCCCGTGAGGCTGCCAATCGATTTTTAGCACGACATCGACCCACGTTTCCCGTGGAGTTAGCGGTGACGCATAATAAACGCGACGTATACGCCGAAGCAACTTATGTTTTTTCCTCTTTATTATGCTTTTATTTGACTGATGCGACTTATACTCCAAGAAATACGGTACTTAAATTTGAGATTGTTATGTCTTAACTACAATTCATGTTAAAAAAAAATAGTTCCAACATCGCTCAACAGGGTAAACTCGTAAAGAGGAAGCCATCATCGCCGTGTTTTCAGCTTCCAAGCACAAAAATATTATTAGAACGTCAGCAGACCTTGAAATACATTGGCTAGACACTAAATGTTGCTCAAGCTGCACCTGCTGCCACGTCACCCACAGATAACGATAGCATAAGTGGCTGAAAATAATTGCTTGAGGAATGTTGTTTTCCCTGAAACTGCAGTCTAATAAAGTGCGAGTTACTGGATCAGGCGCCTCTGTGAAGCGATGAGGTTAGGTGATCTTTATCTTGTCGTTTTGCTTTTCAGTGACTGTATCTGCTCCCAATTACAACCCCCTCTCCCTCCCATGCACACGGACCCACACAAACACGAACTCAGGTCGGACTGACACAGCACTTAGTCAAAAGGAAACACCCCGACAAGCCTACCAGACCTTATAGTCATCAGTTTTAAAACATAACAGAGAGAAAACAGCGAAACAGAGGCGTTTGTGTGTGGAAAAACTAACTTTGAGAAAGCAACACTATCACTGGGGTACTGTTCAGGGAAATGGTCAGAAAAAAAACAACTCTTTCATGTAGACACACATGCACGTACTTTACATGTGAACACACCTTAAACGTCAGACATGAGTCCGGATGCCTCTAATGGGAGGAAGAGATTTTAATGTAACTATCAATGCACCCAAACCGTGTGTCAACCGACATGTATACGTTCTGTGGTTTTCTCCCTGGCATCTCTACAGAGTAGCCTAATGTGAAGTAATGGCTGGATTTGAATATTTTATCACTATATAAAGGGGGCAAGGCAGACGGACCAATATGGATTTTGCCGGTCCTTTCTCTCCACTGACCCATGGGCAATATATCTTCCCTCGGAGGCTGACCCATGGGTAAAGTTTCCTCCCGTTTACCGCTCTGTCCATTTGTTTGTGCCCACCGCCTCTCATCCATCTTCCCCTTATAAACCATATAGAAATATCACGCTTTGACGCCGCCCTCCCCCTCAAACACATCTGAAACACTTAAATCGGAGCTCTTTCTGCTGAGAGGCACAACCCCCCCCCCATTCTGTTTATTCACAGCTACTGATCAGTTGCCTTGAACTTTATACATGTGAGAGACACTCCGTTATGACTAATCTGCATCAGCAGAAACGGCGCTTCTGTTGCTGCTCAGGCTGTTTGTTTTCCTGAACATTATGACACCAAAAGAAGAGACAGTGAGTGTTTTTGTGCGTTTCCACCAGCCCCGGTTGGTGCAATTACTCAGGAATATCTGGGCAGTTTTAACTCTGCGCTCCCTGTGAAATCTCTTTATTCGTCTTGTCTTTAAACCGGGATGGAAGGAATGGAGGCCGGCGTTTTTCCTGCCTCTCGCACACACACTCAAACAGCGCCCACGCAGACACTGCGGCTACTGTCCCAGGCCAGGAGCAGGGCCGGCCAAGGGTAGCAGCCCTCCAAATATAGCCCCTATATGTGTCCTTGTGTAGTTATTAAGAGATTTACACCACCTCAAAGGGCTGAGGTCAGGGAAACGATACATCCCACTGCTCTCTGGTTAGAGGAAAAAAGCAGACACCACAGAGAGGGAAAAAAATGATAATTGGTCAGTTTTTCTGTATCCAGTGGTGGTCTAAGATGAATTGGCTCTTTAGAGATGAAAGTGATCATTCAGTCGCCCACAAACACACTCGAGCTGCAGATCCTGTGGCCCAGTTCCAGCTGGCACGGACACACGCACACAGCATGTAGCGACACACTGTTCACAGCTTCCAGCAGGGTTTAGTGGGATGTGAGAGGGTGATGTTTTTCGAACAAGACCTGGAGCCTATTAACCCGGAACCCACAGTTGCCATTAACACCACTGATTAAATGGGAGGCAACTTAAAACCCCTGTTTCCCCCCCTTTCTTCTGTTTTTCCTCTTTTTTTTTTTTTTTTTAATTTGCATTTAAAAATACACTCCTTGTCATCCTTATAAAGTGATTTGAACACCTTTTTTAATAGTTATAATAATTTTTATCACTTTTTTATTGTCTGTTAAAATATGTGATTCAAAACAACCCTTTTACCAGCTGTTTTTATTTTTTTTACTGACAGAAGAGTGTTCAATTTAACATAGTTTAACTCTGTCTTAATACGACCACTCGTTAGCCACTTGACCCTGGCTGCAGCCGCGATACGTCGGGTCCGACCGCCATTATTTGACTTCGACTCTGCCGGGCGGAGGGCCAGAGGGGTGCCAGAGCTCCACGCCAGCCCCATTTCAGAGGGGTTTTCGTGGTCAGATGAATATTTAATGTGTCAGGGTGCACTTAGAAGAGAATGTCCTTGTTTTTTTTTCTATCTATGATATCATAACCACAAAATAGAGCTGGGAGATGGGAGCCAATGCACATGTGAGGCCTAAACAGCAGAGCTCGATATGCATCCAGAGTTGAAAATGGACGATAAAGGGTTGTAGATTTACTAGCCTCCTCTCAGGGTAGTGGTCGCATCAACTAAAAGCATTATGGAAGCGTATAAGGAATAAATAAAATGCTTGATATAAAATGTCTGGTAATAACGCTGTACTGAGAGGCGACGGCTGTGTTTTGAAGAAATGGGTGTGCCGTTCCCAGCCCTGCTTTGTTTTCCCTGTGTAAATGTGCTTTTATTTCCTCATAGTGTCTTATAATTGTTGCAGAGTAACTCAACGAGTTGCTCTGCTCTTTTTTTCCTCCTGTGTTTTCAAGCAGCGGAGACGAGGCAAGTAAAGTGAAAGTAAATTTTTCACGCGCTCGGAGTCTGAGGGAAGGCCCAACCACATGGACAGCAAAAATCCACCCAGCCTGCCCTCCACAAAACCCATATCAGCCCAACGCAGAGACGGTGTTTGCTCAACGAGGTGACTGCCAGGACTTCAGCACAATCTGATCACCCATGAAGACTCACTTCTTTGTCTTCACCTCCAACTTTTTTCAGCTTCTTTCCTTTGTTTCACAGACTCGGTTAAAAATAAAGAAACGTACGCTCGCCTCTGTGGAACAATAAACACGAGCTCATTTTGAGAAGAGTCTGACTGACACGATCTGAACAGCAAAGGGCAAGACGTGCTTTGGCTGCAAACTAAACCTGCGCTGAACGTATTTGAAGTGTAAATATTGGTATTCGCCATATAAATGGACTGGATAGGGCCTCTGATAAAACTAAAATTTGCAGGGATTGCACTTCTCTGAGAACTATGTCTGGATTGTGAAGCTTTGTGTGGTGTAGGATTACAAGCAAAAAAAATGTTCAGGCTGTGTGGCGAACATGCCAAGTTTAATATGAAAACTAATGAATGGCAGCTGCTTTTCTTCTGAAAATCAATTTAAAATATACTTGTCTGTGCTTTTTTTTGTTTTGTTGTTAAAATAAATAAATAATAGCTCTACTATCCTGGGGGGACGAGTTACTGCACTGAAAATTAAGTGTTGAAACCTTGAGAAAACAAGCGCTCTGCATCCTTATCTAGTTTTCAGACCTGACAGCGAGATGTGGGGCGACAGTTGAGCACATGCTGCTTTGGGACCTACTTGCACGCGTGCAAACTTCCGCTTGCTCTCAACAGACAGTGAAGATGTTTCAACATCTGTTGAGCAAAGTGTACACCTGTCTTCCTCTTCCTCCTCTCTAGCGGACCTGATTCTGCCACCCCCTCCCTTTACGTGCTTGTTCCCATCTCGCTGCTTTCCGCCATTCTCTCTCGTACTTCCCTTTTTGTTCTATTACAGACGCGAGCTCAAAAAACATCTCTGCACAGGCTGTTTGGCACAATGCTTTCCAAGGCCACCAATCACACCAACGAGTATTTACAGTGGGGCAAATCAAAGTTCTTGTTTTGAGGCTGACCCTGAGGGATGTGGGTTTTACCCTTGGTTGGTGATTGTGGCTGTCTCGTCTGGGCCTAAATGAGTCGATGCTAGCCACACACAGACATCACACCGCTTTAAATTAATTTACATTGCTGTCTTGCAGCGCTTTCAGTATGAATTCCTGTCACCATATTATCATGGATGGAATGCACACAGTATTTACTGAGTGGAAGTCTTTATCATAAACAGCAGCCTGAATGCGGCGGCAAGAAGGGGTTTTGCGTAAATGCTATATGGTCTTTTTGAAGGAGGTCAACAAAAGTTTTGGTATGCTTTTATCTGGAGTTCACCCTCTTTAGCCGGCCACAGCTGGGGGGGGGGGGGGGGGGTTGCGGGGTGTCTCAGGCAGAAGCAGCAGCCTGTCTCTGGGGACATCAGCAGTGTGAAAATCCCCCTCGCAGGCCTGAAAACAAGCTGCTCACAGCGGAAGTTGCTTCATGAGAC